ATCGATGAGTTCAGGGTCATTGACCTAGCAGTCAGTGGAATTTCGGACGCTTGCTTTCATGACCCAATTGACGAACAGGTCAAACTGTATTAGAGATAGAGAACATTCTTATCGTACTCTTGAACTCATTTCGGACATAGCCACGGATACGAGCTTTTGTATTGGTATGGGATCTTATCAGATTAACCATCTTGATGAAGACATCATTTCAAAGCACTATCTTTCACAACGACTCGCCATAGAATGCTGCGCGAAAGTCAGTCAAGTATATGGCAGTGGGTTGCTGAAACCTCTGGCGGTGTTTCAGAGTTGTCCGGAGAATAAAAATCTGGTCCTTGTTTTCTGTTCCGGGGCTGAAATCTCCGTGATCGGGACAAGTGTGTGCATGTTTCATTGCGGCAAAGTGATTCATTACTAGCTGGGCTAAGGTTTTTGCATTTATTTTCGGCAATCTGATGCCGCGTTAGTTCGCACATGTCGTTCCGTCACCCTTTTTAGGGAATGGAGGCCAAACCGAATGGATCCGGTCTTTAGGGTATCTTTCGGTTTCCGAAATCGAGGGGAATAGACTGAATTGGCTTGGCTATCTCCCGGAGGCATTTATTGTAGATTTATGTTGGGATTCCTTGTTCACCAGATGCCTTGTCCGATTTCAATTAGCCTCTCAGGATAGGTATCACAATTGGTATCTTTTAAAGCGATAGGCAACTGTGCTGTCGTCCGGTTCAATACCACACCTAACCCATCGGGGCCTTATGTAGTTTACGACTCCAAGCTTGGGTTACCAGTTTCCATGACGGAGCAGCAGGTCTTCGTGACTATGGGGTTCGCCCCGTCTGCTGTTCACTACACAAATGCGTGTAATAAAAAAGGAGGTCGAAGTCGAATGAATATCCGCGGGTCCCGATGGTGGGCGATTGAGAAGCTGACCGAATCTCTCCATCCATTTGGTTTGCTTACCACCAGTATCAGGGATAAGTGCACCGGATGAATCTCACCGGAGGGGTCGAGTGGAATATCCATTACCGGACGCCGACCATATGAGGCGAAGAAGGTTTCCAAAGAGGCATGCGCTAATCGCGGTAGTTGTGGCGATCCCTCCTCACAATTTAGACGCCGGTATTCGGGACAGCCAGATAAATGTGCTTCTTTGATCAAGGTCGAGAACATTATAGCATTGTCGGATATCCATTCTTTGTAGCGGCACTTCATGGTGCCTGATTTGTTCAGAGCAGCTTGTTGTATCGCTGTTTTTAACCCGAGGTTCAGTCTCCTGGTCCTCCAGGTTGAGGGTTCGCCTGGAATTTGGCGTTTCAGTCGATA